TTTTATAACTTTTATTAGTATTTTATTATGAAATATAGCTATATAGTAAAGCCTCTAATAGCTCTAATATATAAGGAAGTTCTATTTAAATAAATAGATTAGTATTAAGAAAGTTTTACTAAGCTAAAATAAACTATATTCTCGGTACTAATTTTATATTACTATAATTTAAATCTCTTTATTATAATTAAAACAGATATATTAAATAGAGTTATAACTAATATTTTCTTATAATAAGACTTCTAGATAGAATTCTAGTATCTAGTAATATTCTTTTTAAAGACTATATAATTAGTAAAACTAAATTATAATATTTATAATAAAGAAATACTTATTATTATTCTTTTTTTAACTAAATAATAAGCGGAACTAAAAGGCCTATAAGAAGTATTCTTTATAATTTATTTAGATTACCGAGTTCTCAAATACTTTATAACTATAAAAAAGCTTTTAATAAGATAAGCTTACTAGGTAAAGTACTTTTCCTGCTATTATTTTAAGCTTATATATTAAATAGGCAAGTTAAATAAATAAGCAAATGCCCTAAATAGGAAATATAAAAATATAATTATTTAGAATAAGATTATAATAATTTACTAGACCCAAATTTTCCTTCTATAATAAAAGATTAATAATAATATTATATAGGATTTCTAATTAGCCCTAATTAAGGCTTTTATAAGCCCGGCTTAAAAAGAAACCTAGTATAATAATATATAGCTAGTAAATAAGCTATTAAATAAGAACTAAGAATTACTAGAACTAGAAAAACTATAGAATAAGGCAAGAAATAAAAAAGAAAGTACTTAGATACTATAAGACGGCCTTTTCTTATAATATAATAAACTATTTATATCTAATAATATAATAATATCTGAAATATTCTTATATATTATTCTTATTTAGGAAATATATATATAGCCCCTAATAAGATACTTAGAATTAATTAAGCTTTAATAGCTTCTTTAGGCTTATTACTACTAGCTAGGCTAAGATATAAATATTAATTAGTATAGGAATAATTATTATATCTATTAATAATCTTATATTTCTAGAAATAAGAAGCTAGGGCTCTTGTATTTATTACTAGTTCCTAATTATTTCTAGTAATATATATTAGTAAATTTCAAGAAATATCTAGAAAATAGAAATAAGTATAATATAATAGTAATCTTTATTAACTATCTAGATAAGTACTCTATTATAATTCCTGTTTGAGATATAGTAATAACTAAAAAGTTAGTATTTTTATTTCTTACTTATATAATTTACTAAATTAGTATTCTAGAGATTATAATATCTAATTAAGGCCTTTACTTTATATTAGATTTATAGAACAAGTTCTATAAATATATTAGTATAAAGCTCAAGTTATTAATTATTAATTATTTCTAAACTAATAGCTAGATAGAAATTATTAACTAGTATTTTAACTAATAGCTATATTTCTATATAAATTATTATTAGAATAATTAGAACAAATAAGTAATAATAATTAATTACTAGTAAGTAGCTTTAGTTTATAAAATTATAAGCTAATTCCCGTTTCTTATAAAGAAGGGCTATAAACTACAGATATTATTTAACTAGAAAACCCAAATATAATTAGGTATCCTAAAGAAAAAGTTAAATAAATAGGAAATAAAAGCCCTAGTAATATAACTCTATAAATTATAATAAAAAATATAAGAGAATATAATATAAGTATAAGAATATTATATTATTTAAGCTAATAAGTATTACTAATTAGTAAATTTTAAAATAAGAAATAAGATATAAATTATTATTAAGTATTAGAAAAATAATTATCCGAGTTATAAGCTAGCTTACTAAATAGAAGAATTATATAAAATCCTGAAATAAGTAAAATATTTCTTTAGGCTTAAGCTTCCGGAATTAATAAGAATATATCTGGTATTTTATATAAAGAAATTATATAAAAATCCAGATAACTTCTTTCCCAAATAAATAAATCCGGAGCTTTTATTATTAGAATTATAAGACAGGAAAATAGAATATAAAATTCAAGAAATATAAGTAATAAAACTGTTTTATAAGAAGCTAAAGTACTAAATTTAGTAAAAAGACTAGGAACCAGATCTAAAGTAATATCTTACTTCCTTATTAAATAATAATACCCTAGCTTTTTAGAGCTTCTATAATAAAAACTTCAAATAGCTAGAACTATTCTAAAATCTCTTTTATTAATTAAATTATACTAAGAATAATATACTACCGAAATTATATAATATAAATAGAAATTCTTTAAAGTTATATATAAAAGGCCCCGGCCTTTAATATATAACCTGTAATTTAGAAATTTAATAGAAACTTTTAAAGCTCGGAAATAAGCTTATTTTAAGAAAAGAAGTAATATTATAATTACTATAATATATAGTACTAGTAGGAATTAGACTAGAGCTAGAGAGATATCTAATATTTAAGTAAGATATCTATAATTACCTGATTATTATATATAACCCCGAGCTTAAGCTAGTATATAGGCCTATATATAGCTTATAATTATTTAGATTCAAGACTTTTTTAAGATTCTTTTCTCTCTTTAGCTTTAAATTATTAAAATAGAAATAATCTAACTATATTTTCTAGATTCTAGATTTTATACTTATAATAAATTTCTTTTTAGCCAAGTATTCTTAATATAATAATAGGATTAATATAATAGTTAAAGGCTTAAAGTTTAAAGAATCTCATATATTAGAAAATACTAAGCTATAGAATAAAGTAAAGAGAATATCTTAATCTTTAGTATTATTCTATTTAAGTAATTCCGGCTTAGCTTTATTTTATATCTATTTCTAATATCCTGTCCTTAGTAGATTATATTCCTATACTAGTTATTATACTTAACTAGTAATATTACTTATTACTTTCTACTATACTTTTTTAACTTTTAGGAATTATACTAATTCCTATACTATATAATAATTTAATAAAGAGATTAAAAGAAAAGTTAAATAATTTTTATTTTATAATAGTATATTATATTATTAAAATTAGCTATACTAAATCTATTTTCTAAGAAATTACTAAACTCAGAAATAGAAATATAATTAATTTTTAGATCTTATTACTTTATATGAGAGTATTATAGAATTATATATTTAATATACTAGAAATTTAAATTTCTTAAATAAGGCTTTAGGTTTAAACTAATATTATAAAGTCTTATCTTAGATATTATATTTTTATAATAGTATTAAGAAAAGAACCAAATAGCCTTAATCCTATATATTGAACCATTACCAGAGATTAGCTATAAGGGAATAAGAGATATTTAATTATTCTATTACTTTAACTCTTACTTGAAAGCATTATGTATTACTAGTTCTATAAGTACAATCTTATAAAGAGGTATAGAGGTAGTTGAACTGGCCAAAAAGACTGACTTTAGCGGTAATACCGATCTTTAAACGGCTATATCAAAATGGTTGGAAAAGGCAAATAACATACTTGGCAAATGGATATTTATACTTGACCTCGAGGATATTTTGCTAGGACCTCTGACCTATTTATTAGCTTAATAAAGAATACCCATAGACTCAGGATTAATTTTCCCTTTCGCTAGTTCCGTTTTAGTCTGCGGACGTGAGCATTTGCCCGGGAATTCGTTTCTGCTCCCTTATAAGGAAGGGTTCTTGCCGGAGCAGATTTTGGATCCCTCTTGTGAATGAGCACGTGACTAGTGATTCAGCCAGACGTCGGCTCCTTAGCCTGAAACTAGAGCCAAGCTAATCATGTGACCGGCAGCCCAGGCCACGACCGTCACAAACACCACCAATTCAACGTTATCGTATTTAAATATATGACTATGACGTCTATTTGCTGAGTAATTGCCTAACTTATTTGATATAACTCGCACTTACTTACCTACTGCTCCGCAATGAATGTTTTTGTATAGTTGTTAAAGAAGGCACAAGCGGCCACACTACGAATCTTGGGGTTTGGAGCTCCCTCTACGTATTCTACCATATGACTATGACTGAGTACTGCGGTTTGGCCCGCTGAATTCGGCCGCTGTTTTACGCAGCCTCGACCGCTCGCTACTGTAAACTCTGCCCGCAGCGCACGTTCCTCGGTTCGTTCAGCACGATGACCCCGACGTCCCCTCCCAAAAATTGCTGGTTATTATCTTTAATCATCCTGACCATCCAAGCCCTCAATCCAGGAGCCAGAAACGGCTCTCCATCAGTCATGGCAGGCCTCGTCTGTCTCTGCCTGAGGCCGCTCAGGATTACATAAGTTCTCGGAATTTCCGCCCACACTCGACCTCCAGCCACTATCGCATCTCCTTTGCATACACTTTTTCCACACTATTCCCTCTTCACCTTCTCTCTCTCTCTCTCTCTCTCTCTCTCGACGAGTCCCGTGGCTTTGGCTGCGATCCCCTCCTCCACGAAGACTCTCCAAGGTTGATTCTCCTCGCCTCGCCCCAATATCTGCACCACTACTCTGTAACTCGGTTCTACACTCATTCCTTCGCCTACCTTCTTCACTTTCTTCCTCTCGAAGGCCTTGGACCTTGAAGTCTTGACAGTTCCGGTGTCTTCTCCCTACCCTCGGCATTGGCTACAATCCCCTCCTCTACGAAGCACCCTCGAAGTTTATTTTCTCCTCGCCGCTTCATATTTCCCCTTTGCGACTCAATTCTTCACACGACCGTCGACTTGTGAACTCATCAACCATCGTATTATCAGGCTGCGTCGACGCCGAAGCATTGAACTCGATCGACCACGTATCTCTCTTCGAAACCTCCTCCCTCCCTCTTCCTTGTCTCACTCTTAGCAGCGGACGCCCTCGCTGCCATTAAGACTTCTTCGACCTGTATAGGATCATCTACGCGCTCCACGAACAGCATACCTCCAACGGACAACTCCTATTTCACCCAATGAGATAATAGCTATAGGGGACCTCGAAGCGGTTCTTTGTATTGAACAAAGGTCTCGCTAACACAGTATCTCAATCACGAAACAAAAGCCATGGCGAACCTCGAAAAAGATATTCAAGCCATACAGGGAGATGTTGAGGTTGTGCCAAAGAATGATAGATACCGAGGTTGGTTTGGTGGCGATCTATATGGAAGCTGGAATTCAGACAACTTCGAAGCTAGGAAGGGCGATACAAATACAATAACGAATTTTGAAAAAGCTTTTCAAGTGGCACGGCAAACTTTCAACACTGCGCCAGAGAATTACTCAGACCGAACGTGGTATTTAGATGGTCTCGAAACTAGACTCGGTGATATAAGAGCAATCACACACCTTGACGAAGCTATTCGAGCTGCGCGGAAAGCCATTGCAACGCAAGAAGATTATCTGGATCGTGACAAAAGCGTGATGGTGGATCTAGAAGCGGCTATCCGATTTGCTCGGGAAGCTGTTGACACTGCGCCAGGAGATTTTCCGAACCAAGCTGCGCTTATGAATCATCTTGGAGGTCTACTTGGCAAAAGATTTTTGAGAACAAGAGCAATGGCAGACCTCGAAGAGGCTATCCGACTAGTCCAAGAAGCGGTGAATATGATCACACCGTTCAACCCGGCATATTCACTATATAATCTTGCATTTCAACTTTCACGAGGATTCTCGGAAATCAGATCTATAGCCGACGGTGACAAGGCTATTCAGTTTGTGCGGGAGGCTATTGATGCAACTCCAGAAACCGATTCACAGCGCGCACGTATGCTTGAGAATCTCGCACTGCTACTTCGTAATCGATATTATCATACAGGTCTTTATGCAAGAGACAGGACTGACTTGGATGAGGCGAATCGAATTGAACGAGAAGCCAGCAAGGAATCTCCAGTAAAGCATCCGGACCGAGCGTATTGGCTGAACCATCTAGGAAACCTGTTTAGGCATCGATACCTAAGCACAGCTGCTGAAAATGACCTTGAAGAAGCTATCCGTATCATAAGAGAAGCTATAGATACTACAGTAAAGGACCATCCAAAACGACCATTTTGGTTGAACGACTTGGGAACCTTGTTTAAGGATCGATACCTGAGAACAGGAGCTATAGACGACCTTGAAAAGGCCATTCGGTTGGTAAAAGAAGCAATCGATATATTTCCAAAAGAGCCAGAACAGGAAGAGGGTTCACCCCCGGAAGTCTTGAGTAGCAGCCTTAGCAGTCTCCTTAGCTTGAAGTCCATGAGAACGGGAGCCAAAGAAGACTACAAAAATGCTTTTCTGTATCTACTTGAAGTTGAACATAGTCCAAACTCCAAGCTGGACTGGGCATCACGGTTGAACCATCTTGGGAGTCTGCTTAGCATTAAGTTCTTGAGGACAGGTGCTATAGTCGACCTTGAAGAAGCCATACGAATTACACGAGAAGCTATCAACGCAACTGTGAAAGGTGACCCGGGCCGGGTGTCTCGGTTGAGCATTCTTGGAAGTCAACTTGGTGATAGATTTTTGAAGACAGGAGCGATAGTCGATCTTGAGGAGGCTATTCGAGTTACACGGGAAGCTGTTGACTTAACTCCAGAGAATGACATGACCCGAGTATCTTGTTTGAACAACCTTGGAAGCCAACTCACCGATAGGTTCTCGAGAACAGCAGCCATAATAGACCTTGAAAGCGCGATCGTGTACTTTAAAAGTGCTCTACATCAACTCAACGCGCCTGTTATTGGTCGTATCAACGCTGCTAAAGGAATTATTCGATGCGGCATGTTCACTTCGGACTGGGAGCAGGCCTACGAAGCTTCAACTACCGCCATACGCCTTATTCCCGAATTGAGACCACGGTCACTCCAAAACTCTGATAAAGTGTTTATGGTCAGCCGAGTATTCGGGCTAGCTTCTGACGCAGCGGCAGCGGCAATAAATGCAGGCAAATCGCCGCTTGCTGCACTGCAATTGCTTGAGCAGGGTCGCGGGGTGATTCTCGACGAGATGCGAGCGGATATTTCAGATTTACTAAAGAGGCACCCCCGACTAGCAGAGCAATTTCTCCTTGTTCAGAATCAGCTAGAGACTGATAAGCTAATGGTCAAAATTCGCAAACGACCTGGATTTGAGGACTTCTTGCTTGAACCAAGCAAAGAAAAGATACGAGCTGCTGCAAAAGCGGGACCTATCGTCGTGATAAATGTGAGCAAATATCGCTGCGATGCGATCCTTGTTACGCAGTATGACATACAGTCCGTTGCCCTGCCTTATCTCAACTATAAGGATGCCAAAGAGAGAGCGCAAAGAGGTCATCTAGGGGACTCCGAAATCTTAGAATGGCTTTGGGATGTCGTCGCGAATCCAATCTTGGACGCCTTGGGATTTACTCAATGTCCACTTGATGAAAGGTGGCCTCATGTATGGTGGATTCCTACTGGTCCATTAAGCAAGTTTCCTCTCCATGCAGCAGGAATTCACCATGACAACTCTACCGAAACGGTGCTCGATAGGGTCATGTCTTCTTACAGCTCCTCTATTAAAGCAATCATACATGGCCGCCGATATCCTGTGCCTAAGCTCTCGGTTCGAAGCAAGGCTCTTCTTGTTGCCATGAACCACACACCAGGACATACGAAGCTTTCTTTCGCAGCTCAAGAAATAGAGGAGCTAAATGCAGTTTGCAAGTCCTTGCGCTTAGATCCTATTCAGCCAAAACGGAACAAGGAGGCAATCATATCGCACATTCCCAAATGCAAGATATTTCATTTTGCAGGCCACGGTCAAACCGACTACATTGATCCTTTACAGAGCTATCTGCTTCTGGAGGATTGGGAAAATGATCCTCTCACAGCAGCCACTTTACTGGGCAAGGCTTCCAATCCGCAAGGTAGCATGAACGTGGATCACTTAAATAGCTCACCATATGCATTGCAGCCTTATCAGATTGATCATGGAAACTTACCGTTCCTCGCCTACCTCTCAGCTTGCGGGACTGGTCAGATTAGAGATCAGACGTTCAGCGACGAGAGTATACATCTGATCAACGCGTGTCAAATATCGGGCTTTCGCCATGCTATTGGTACTCTATGGGAGGTCAATGATCAGGTTTGTGTCGATATGGCCAGGATTACGTATGAGGGGATGAGGGACGGGGGTATGACAGATGAGTCTGTGTGTCGGGGGCTCCACAATGCTAGTAGAGAGCTTCGGGATCGTTGGCTGAACACGCCAGCAGGTGATAAGCATGGACGTAGGTTGGGGAAAGTAGACACTCAACCAGTAAAAGGTGTAAAAAGTGTAAAAATTGCCAGCAGTCTATATGATGGAGATGGAGATAGGAGAGGTGATGGCTTATCGAGAGATATTGCTTCATGTGACGACGAAGAGCCAGGACTGTGGGTTCCTTATGTTCATTTTGGTGTGTAAATTCTACTTTCGTCTGATGCTAGTTTTGTTATTCATCTCAAGAAAACACGACGCTCAGTATGGGCCTTTCCTTCCCAAATAATTATCTTAATTACCCTTACTAGCTTTATTCTTCACGAATGATCGCCTCGGTTTTGACAACTTCATCTGTCTGAATAACATCGATCAAGGCTTAGTAACGAGATATTTGATGACATTTTGATACTAAGGCTTGTCCGTTATTGATCAATATCCCCCTGAACGGAAATATGGATGGAAAAATTCATAGCCGCCCAATTCTCTGATCCATCACCACCTTCTCCAGGTGTCCTATCTGCCTGAGATGTTTTAGCCCGACCACCTAGTTTGGGCAACTCCAACAAGTCAAAGGACGTCGGCTGGGAGGTAACAAAGATCTTGAGTATATCTTTGCAAGAGCTGTGTCCCTCCTCTCTCATCTTGTCAGGAATCCTCATCCTCAGCCTCTTTCGAGTAGGTCTAGCTCGTTGTCCATCGATTCGTGGCGGGACAACTATGTAGGTACCACGATTCACATTCTCCACTTGCCAACAAGGACCAAGATCGTAGATAAAAAGATAAAGATATTTTTCGCCTTGATTTTCTAGGACCAATTCTGCTATAGTATTATGCTCCATTTCTATCGAGTCATCCGGGCTAAAAGACTTTCCGTTAATTAATATCTGTACCTTAAAGGATTATCGGAAGGAATTTGTAGGTTCTTCGTTAACGAGATCCTTGATTAATTAATATCGACTTAGGTGCTCCAAAATACTCCCTATCTGTCCAATGTTGGTCTGGTCTTGCGGTATGCTAGGCAAATTGATAATAATATTACCCGATTCGTCCAGGATCTCATATTCTCCATTATTCAACACGACATCGAACATGGACGGATGCTTGTTCGTATCGATATGAGCCTCAAGTGACCGTTCCCTTAGGACTGTGAGCCATTCCTCCAGATTTGGAAGCCCGGATGCAAGGCGTATGGGAAAGCTCTGGAGAGAAGATCGAGTAAGGACTCTCGCCATCCATCCTGTACGTACACGGATGGCCGGTGCGTCTGCGAGGGTTAACTCATCATCGGAATCATCTTCATCCATTCGCTCCAGATTTGAGGTGAGAGCTCTGGTGCAGACGACCTTTGCAACTTCCGAGTTCCCTTGTACTCTAGGATCAACTTCAGCGGTACCTAAGGGATACAAGATAAGCTGATCGTCAGTCTTGAAGCCGTGTGCGCGGCCAGCTTGTAATTGGAGATTGCCGTTTTTGCTGACGATGATCGGAATAGCTACTGCAATAATATCTGAATTGACTTGCCCAAAGAAGCCTTGGTTCTGATTCCCATAAAGGACAGGGTTTTGCCGCAACCCAGCAGCTTTGAGTTTCGGACGCAGGTGATCGTAGATGTCCCCATGTCTCTTCGTAAGGTTAACGCACTTAATTGTCTTGAGAAGGAAATAGGATAAGGCCCCATGTTTCCTCCCGTCGGCGTCTTTGAGCTCGATCGTGATTTCATGCGGACCGCATACTGCAAGTATCGCATACCAATCTGGCCTGACAAGCCAGTTAGGCAGCATGGAGATATCACGGTATCTCTCATCCCCTGGAATCTGATCGGGCTTCGATGAATATTCTGAATCGACTTTGGAATCGTAAGGGAGAAAGCGGACGCTAGGGTCCTTGCGACGATAGACGCCCGCAGAGAAACAGCAGTCGAGAATGAGGGTGATAACCAGTCCACTATCGACCATGGTCTTCAGTAAGCCCGCTAGTTCGAAACCCCAAAGACATCTTATCTTCTTATCCTGCTCTCCTCCAAGGAGTACCAGCGCCAAATCGGCCGTGGATTCGTTGGAGAAGGTACCGGAAGGCGGCTTTTGGGTACCATGCCCGGAATAATGTATATAGACAAAATTTCTAGGTTTTGCAAGAGAAGTGACCCTCTTAAAGGCCGTAGTAACATTGTCAAAAGTCGGCTAGAGCACTCGACCTTCAATTGTGTTGGATGATTGCGGGCCGCTCTGGCTGGTCACAATTATCTGTACCTCGACAGAATCGTGGAGCGTGCTTTCTAAGTACGCTTTGGTATCTTGAGCGTCACGCACACAACCTTCTAATGGTTTGTCTGGATAATCATTAATTGCGATTAAAATCGCATAATGCGTGACGATATTAGCACTTCGACTCTCTATCGTGTCGATAGGTTTGAGCTGTGTCGCTTTAGCAAGGTTGACAAAGCAGGTAAGACTGGAAGATCTCAGACAGGCATGGCTCCTGGCGAATCAAGTAAGGCGCGAGAAAAGAAGAAGAGGACTGAATGATGTCTGCACGCTATCAAAAATGCAACTGTGGGGTGAAGTAAGCTTCGTAGCCTAATAAGCCGGGCGCAGAAAGTTGCAGTAAGGGTGATTCAAAGCAATGAGGCTGTAAACGAGGCGAACTGCATTGAAAACCTAAGGCTATTGGCTACCAGACGCACGTATATCAGTATATACCCGAGCTAGCTGGCGAAAAGATGAAGCTACGCATCTTTCTGACGCCGCCATTTTGCGAAGTGGCAAAGGGAGAGTATTCCAAGGTCGAATTATTTGGACCTAAAAACTACCTATATAGCCCTTCAAATCAACCTCGCAGTGTCTATCGCGAGGCTGCCAGTGCCCAGGTTATGTGCAATCAACATGTTGGTCATGACTGCATACATTGCTGAAAGGGGCCTTATGCATTAAGGGTTACTGACAGTGCATAGCGACGTGGTACATTGCAAATTTCAGTAATACATTACTAATACACCTCGCTCACCATGGCCGGGCATACCACTCCAGTGGGACGCGGAAGCTTTATCTTGCGATCTCACCTTGATCCTTGATCCGCTACGCAAGAAAAGAGCTTTTGGGAAATGGAGGCGCTTCGATCTCATCTTCCGTACTGGAGGCGCTCCCGACCTGGAATCGAAGAGGTGCAGACCCGAAAAAGTTAGTACCTATGCTTTCGCAAGATAAATTAAGGTTCTTTATTGACATGAATATTGAGTTGAGGATTACAGACCCGGGTATCCCCGTTACACTGCACTCTTGTCGTCGTACGACCCCTATTTTCTGTGCCGAGACTTCAGCAAACTTCGAGCTCGAATTCTATTATTGAAACAGGACCGGTTCTCTATGCTGGAGCAGAAGCTAGAACGGGTAGATCACGAAGAAATTTCTCCTCTTTTTCTGGGAAAAAGTCGATGTGATGGGAATCCGGAGCGGGTCTCTCTACTATCGGAGATCGAAACCCGTCTTGCAGATTATGGTAAATGTCTTTAACAGCTAGAGATACTACCATCTTGCAAGACTAACAGAACACAGACCAGTTCGCAGACAGAACGCATCGGATGCTGAGTTTTGGCTCCGCTCAGCAGAGGGATGTTAAGGCCCTACAGAACCGGTTGGATGGCAATGGCTGTTTGGCTCGAGAGGAGAGGGCGTACCTCACGTATGATCGTGAGCTAGTGTCCCTAACTCCTATGGGTGACAGCACGATCGTGCGGCTAGAAGCTTGGGTAGAAGATAAGTTCATTCGATGGTGGCGAGACTTCCGCAAGGCAAGATTTAAGAGTGACCACACGTAAAGAATCTGTCACGTGCTGCGCACAGGCGTATATATAGCTTCTTCACCGCCCTTAGGGTACCATCATTCATTACAATATACACAAACACACCCACATTCCACTTCCACAGCTTGTCCAGGCCGTGACAGAATCACAGAAAACTAACGATCACATAGAAACCTTTACATGACATCTCCAACGATCCAAATGTATACAATTATTCAGGCCAATGGATTCAACAAACCGCCAGAGCGCTCCTCTTATCGCTGATAACATTACTGCTGCTGATGCCCGTCATCATCTGCAACAGCGTCACGAAGAATTCACTTCGCATCACTATTGTCGTTATTTCTACGATAGCCTTTCTTCTTGTGGTCTTGTGGTTGACGAGATCGAGAACAATCGAGTTGATTCTCGCAGGAGCGACGTACGTAACTGTTCCTTTTCAATCTTTCAGACAAAAATCTGATAGCTAATACTTGACCAATGCCTGCAATAGATATGCTACGGTTCTCATTGTATTTGTCTCTGGTACTAGTGTAGTATAGCATCAACATCGCACTACGACCAAGAACCCGGCGGGGTTGAACCCACCCGATCGTAACAATATGAGGCCGTACGAGTGTGAATAGAACTTCTCTCCTTAGTTTATTCTTCTTGTATATAGGGAAACCATTTGCTTGAGCATAGCACTGCCGACCGGTGATAGCTATAAATAAAATATTAAGTATATTTTTAAAAAAAATATTATCGCAAAATAGCAAGGAACAGTGATTTGCATAAGTGGTTGTCTGATTAAAAGAAGCTCTAAAGGGAGCCTCTGGAAATAAAAGGGGCCGCTGAGTAAGCGAAGCTAAGCTCCCTAGTACCCGTATATACGACAAATATTTATTTTAAATTCCTTAAGAACTTGTTTAGGCTCCTTTAGCATCGTCGTCAAAACTTGACAAAAATGATATGAGAGAACAGAAGTCAGATTAAGTGTGATTAGCTAAAAAGCGAAAAGTCAAAACACGTGATAATGCCGTCAATCTTGCTCAGGATGATCAGGCCTGCTCAGGTGAGCTGCTCAGGGTGCTCAGGGTGCTCAGGTGAGTTGCTTAGGGTGCTCAGGTTACTCAGGCGAGTCGACTAAGGCGAGGCTGAGCCGAGGGTGATTAGCGCCTGAGCAAGAGCAGCAAGCTTACTAACCCTATACGGAACTCAAGAAAGAGAAAATTGATTCATGATACCCTTGTATTTTCCATAATATGGTTCAACTTCCCTCACCAAAAACCACACTGTACTCACTATCTTTAATGATATATAGACACCAGTCCTCGTTCACACCCTCCATCCAACCCCGACATCCTCCCAACGGCCCGCCAGGCATACTCCTAGCATATGCTTAACCTTTACTACTAAGAAACACATAGGTAAGTTAGAATATATCCTGCTTTATTATTACTATTAATCAAGCATATGCACGGCATATAAAACCCATATGCTTAGCATATGCTTTACCTTTACTACTAAGAAGTATACAAGCAAGCTAGAAATCACCCTACTTTATTACTATCCGTAATATATGCTAACCCTAATCCATAGAGCCTTTACGCTTTAATATATCCCAATGCGGGGGGCTCTCACCGCCCCCCAACCCCCCGGACTAACCCAGACCCTAACCCCAGACCCTAAGCCCTGACCCTAAGCCCTGACCCTAAGCCCTGACCCTAAGCCCTGACCCTAAGCCCTGACCCTAAGCCCCCTCGCAAGCTCGGGACTAACCCGAACCTTCCTAGCCCGTATAGCTTATAGCCTATATATATGCAGAGCATAAGGAGAGCATATGCAGAGTATAAGGAAAGCATATGCCTAAAATATAATGGCCACAAAACCTATTTATTTGCTCGGCTAGCTGTCTCGCTTCCTTAAGCGGTACTATGGTTCAGCTAAATAAACGAGCATATGCAGAGTTTGATAATATGGTTCAACTTAAGCGATACTATGGTTCAACTAAAACCCCCCAAAGTCGGCATGCGCCTCCTGAGCCGTGCAAAGCAAAGTAAAGCAAAGCAAAGTAAAGCAAAGCAAAGTAAAGCAAAGCAAAGACATAAGCATGAAGTCAACGGCTTGCAAGCTGCCTGATAGGGTAGCGTAATGCGCTTGGCAAGATCCGAGGCCGGCATTACGGAATAATCAAAACCGCAACTCAAAATTTTGTACACTGGGTACAAAGTGTACCTGAGCCGGTCTAATTTGCCGAAGTAGTTGTGTGTTTGGCCAACTAGCGACAGAAATAGGTACATTCCCGCGTGTTCCCCAAGTCAGGCTCAAGCATTACTGGAGAGCCAGTGCATGCGGGTGAACAGCACTCAACAGCCAGGATGCACACGCAGCATATGATGTGCCCTCAGATAAGGGCTCTAGCTGGAGAAGCTCCGCTCGAGGACCTTTCACTTTCAAGACCACACAATCTGAGACCGCTTTCAGACTATAATTTAAATCATTTGACCAAGTCCAAAAGCAAGTTCGAAACGTGGTTTGCCACGACACCAAAAATAACGTATCATTGACCCGAAAACCGAGGTAGAGTAGCGGGAGATAGCATTGAGCCAAGGTACGTACAAGCAATACCGAGACCCACCAAATAAACATCAAAAGGGGGTCCCACTCATAAACTGGAGCTTCTCAGGGCCGGTGATGAGGTTACAACCTGTTCATAAGGACGAAGTAGCAAGCTGTTTTGTACTCGGGAGCCCCACTTGAACACCAAATGGCGCGACCTTAGGGTTCGAAAAGTTTAATCAGGATGTATAACAAGAGATTGGACGATCAGGTATTTCATAGACAACTATCGAAGAACAACTAACTACTCTCCCACTTGAAAACTTAGGTATCAATCGAACCGATCGCCCAGCACCAAAACTCGAAATCGAAACCAGGTTCCACATTTAATTGTAAGGGATAGCGTAACAGTGCAAAGGAAGCTTTTGCTGCAAACACATTGAACATAAGCATGGAGTTATTTGCCGTAGGCTGCAAGCGTTAGTCGCCGTGCTTGGTGAGGAGATCGAACGGTGTTGTTCTTACAAGGATCGATGGGATGGGAGAACTTCCTCCACCATGAGTAACTGCAGAGGAGGTGTTGCGGGTAGATCGAGGCATGATAAATGCTGACGAGGCTGCAGACGCTTCGAAGTAACGGAATGGGCTAGCAAGTATATTACAGTTGAAGGCTTGAGTGAGGAGTGAGGACTTAGTGAAGAGTCGCAATGATAAGGAAGCGCAGTTCAATCGTAGACAATGGAAGAACGTGGAGGGAAAGTAATGAGGGAGTAGGCAGCAGGTGTAGACACAGCTCTTTATACTGGTCACGTCGCTTTTGAGTTCAAGAAATCCTCGTCTGCGGCCGAAACATGAATTCTTTCATGGGTGTTGGCACCGCATGCTGGGTTGGACATAAGCGTAAACTCGATCTCCTACTGGCTTGCCTTGTGTCCGAAGTCCAGAGCTTGCCATCTAGCCAGTACGGGGCCCTATCATCCGCCAGTGTGGCCCGCAAGGAGAGCAATGAAGTTGGATTGTTGAATACGACTGTCCGAGCATAAGCTGGTTCAATTCCTCCCCGACAACTTCTGTTTTGGGTAGCTGCATCCACAGGCTGCAGCCAGCGCCACATTATTATAGGTCAACCGGAAATCCCCCTGAACATCACCAATGGAAGATGAACATCACGCTCACCCTGCATCTCGGACCGCAGGGGAATCCGGTCACAATTCAAACGTGCCTATGGCCAGGGATGTTTGGAAGAGAGGGATACCCATGATTATTAGAATATTTGTTAACATGGGAGAAGTTCTCCGGATTGGTACCACCAATTATTGCCCAGAGAACCGTACCCCTCGGATCCTTCCCGCAGTAACGAGAAAAAGGAACAAAAGGCAAAGTCGGTGAGCAGCCATTACTTAGAGCGCGCGAGAGAGGAGATTTGCGTTTAAACTAGGCAGGTGAAAACTCTGCAAATTGAGTCGTATGGAAGTACTTGATGACAAAACGGCAGAATGAGAGTGCAATCCTCGTTTGAGGGAAGGGGTGGCCGATGGCTTGCCTGGCTCGATCAACTTTACCCCCAATAACAATTTCAACAACGCAAAAGGCACAATTGCATATGACGGAATCTCTCGACGCCCGATTTGCTTCGTCGCTTGATTTGCAGTGAAGTGTGAGTTAGCTTGCAGAAGCTTCCAGCAAGGGAACTCTGGTCCCGAATGCGGAAGACCTTGACAAAAATGTATGCAATTGCCTCTTCAGTATCCAAACGCAAACAAATGCACAGACTGGCCATACAGCCCGGAATAGAAAAGATGTAGATTTATATCTCGTGACGTCTCATCACTTCAACGCCCGGGGTTTGCCACCACCCATCCAAACCGTACCCAAATGATAAATGCACCTCTAAGTCCCAATACAATGGTATTACAGATCCACCGTCTCATCCCCACTACCCTTTTACTTCGACCCTTCCCCTTTTTCTGGAAGGCATTTGGACCCTTGGCACCCCCCAGGGCATAATTTAGGGGGTTCAGCCCGCTGTAAGGCCCTACAACTCCAGGCTATACGCCCTGAGCAAATCTCAAGAGGCTCTGTGTGATATTCGCAAGGTATGAGAAGATCTTCAGGGGTAAATAGCGCTGCTGGCGGAGCAACGATAGCGCTTGGACGCTAATTAGGTAATTACTATCCCTTCGTCCGGCGAGACATAGTCCACGCTAGCAAGGGGGCCTGGCTCAGGGCGAAAAGGTGATAGATGACTAATAAGTTTATTAGCAAAGGTACGACTTTACAGTCTGAGCCAGGCCCCCTTGCTAGCGTGGACTATGTCTCGCCGGACGAAGGGATGGGCTCTTTAGCGAGGTACCCCCTATAAGTATAGGGGAGAAGCCCTCAAAGAGTGTAGTACCCCTTGCTCCCGCCTTCTAGGGTGTTTTTAGCGCAATGGCCTAGAATTATAGGGTAATTTAGTGAACGAATACTCTAAAAAAGACACTGAAGTGTTAAAGCACAAATGCCATGTAATCCTGTCACTTTATGCCGTGATCTGCGTAGACTGAGTGGTTACTCTTAATCTACTTAAATTCATCTGTATAGCACCTACAAGGATCAGTTGGGACCGCCGCGACTTGGATAGTCTCTTCTTCTCCTTCCGAATGCGAGCGGAGATGACGACAACATGGTATGGACCTTGATGAGGCTTTGGGTGCTTGATGGGGTGTTCGTGATAAGGTGAATGGAATGAGGTGGTTGAGGAATAAACGGAGAGCGGGCTAAAAACGAGGAGATGATTAAACAAACTCGAATTTTAAGAAAGATCAGTGGAAATCAAAATTTCGAGGGAGGGTCAGCGGTATGCATGCGCCAGTCTTAAAGAGGAGTCCGTGAAAAACACGGGCTCCAGATTAGGGAAGCTAAGCGACAAGGTCCTCGGAAGCCACCGTCGCCAACCAGCATAGGATCCTGGCCACAGAGATGGCTTATTAGTACCTTATGCTTAGGAAAGGCATCAATTTTCCGGTGCCGCTTGGCGTTAGGACACTTTAACGATCGACTGGAGCCGCAATTTCATTTACACACGTCCAAAATCCAAGCCCGCTAGGGGTGTATTGTACAGTACATATAATGAAAACAGCGCTTGATCTGTTCAAAAATAACTATTGATAAAGTTCCAGTGATTATATCGCCCCACCCCCCTCCTCTGTAGGTAAACCTGATCCTCACTATCTATGCCCACTGCCAACAAAACATCAAAGATGTCACCTCCACTCAGACTAGAAAAAGCGGCTCCAGCCCCCACTCCGAGCTATGCAGCCGCTCGTGAGCAATTTTATTTGCCATAGACTAAAGGCCGCAGAATCAGTACAGAAACAAAAGTGTTCAGCGATGTTGTGCTTACAGGGATCAATGGGATGGGGCTTGATTTGAGACATCCCTTTACTCTCTTCGCCTTGCATAACCACCATCTCACAGCTCCCTTCGACGACATAGAACGTAGACATGATACAAATATTGACAAGGCTGAGGATTTTGGACGCAAGAGGCGCTGATTGTATAGATGTATAAGTATATATATGCTGAAGGTTTGAGCGAAGAAGGGAGGACTTGGTGACGAGTTGAGCTGATAAATAGCAGTAAAATTGTGGAAATAAGCAGACAGATAACTCGAAGGAGGGAGAAGACGAAAGCAGCAGATATAGCTCTGTTTACTACTCGGGGGTATTTCATTTTGTCACTATCCAAGTTATTTTCCGAACGGTCCACGGCAGTTTGTCAGGACACTCCCCTAGTTGGGCTTAGCGTGGCCCGCGGCCACGGTCAGCAAGAAGTCAGACACCCTCTGTGACCCCTCCGCGACTGGAGGGTATCCTCCTGCACCACAGCCCCATTAGCCAATGGCGCCGATCCGATACATTCGCCCTGCCTGTCTGCGTTGGCCATCCCCCCCCCTCCAAGACACAACTGGCCAGATCTCCACTCGCAAGCTCCTGACTGGTGGGCCAGCTGCAGGAAATGGCTTCTGGGCATTTGCTGTGCCTATTGTCTACAGCAACTTAGATCATGGGGGCTTCGTGGGCAGCCGCCAAACCGCCAGCAGAAGCAGTGTCGGGTAGCAGATCTTACTTTCAACAGCCACAATCGGCGCATGGCATGGGAGCTTGTCACAATTTCCCGGGATGTTGTCCCCCGCAGCTGAGAGGGCCGCCCCGTTCACACTGCGACTGGCTCTTGAAAACTTTGGAACGGTGAATGCAGGGCGTGATGCCATTCTTTGAGAACCCGCTGGTGACCGATTCGAGAAAAATATCTGCCCGCCCATAGGCTGGCAGATAGTTGTCACACTGGCTAAGTGGTATTCTGCACTTCATTATGCGATGCCTTGAGAGGCACCAAATCCCTGCCAGACCGGTCAAAAGAGAAGACTCTATTTTCGATGACCGTCCGCTGCACACACAAGCCAAGGGATGGCTGGGTGGACTAGCTAAGTTCCTCTCTTTGAAATCTGCGGCTTCTCAAGTGAGAAATCCGTAAATCCCTGAAGATGGTCGCTTGGACATCGCACAAGAGTAGTCTGATAGGCCTCATTCAGATCCCAAAACGGAAATCAAAGTACAGGAAAACTTAATTATGCAGAGCGGTGACAGCATCCCAGGCACTCGCCAGTCAAGTATGCAAAAGCAATTGAAATGGGAAGGTTGGCTAAGCAGCCTAGGATAGAAAATATGTAGATTTATATCTTGTGATGCCTCATCACTTCAACGCCGGTGTATACCAATCACCACCACCCGTACCCCAATTTCTCCCGTCGAGAGATAAATGCTCCTCTATACTCAATACAATGGTATTACAGATCCACCGTCTCTTCTCCACTACCATTTTTCTTCGACCCCTCCCCTTTTTTCTGGAAGGCATTTGGAGCGGGCATAATATCCCCATCGCTCGTGACATACGCCCTGCCATCCACATTCCAATCCCCCTCTTCTTCCTCCTCATCACTGCTCTCGGTAATCTCCTGCCCGATAAGATGATGCTTATGCGCCTCCATCTGCGCATTCTCTCTCATCTTCTTGATCTTAACCCAGTTATACGCCGCTATGGCTCCAATGGTTATGAAAAGACCAGCGAAATTGATGATGGTGAGTTTGTCATGGAACAGTAGCCCAGCGGCGGAGATGGTGACGACTTCTTTGAAGATGCCTGCTATGGAGAGCGTTACTACGCTTGTTCTTTGGAGGAGAGCGAATTCGGAGGCTGTCATGCAAAATGCGATGACTCCTGGGAATAAAAGGAGACCAGGGCCCAATACCGGGCCTTTTTTGTCGATCAGGACGCCGATCCCATCGACAAGAGCGGGGAATGTTTCAACGGGTATGGCAATGATGAGGAGGGAAGAAAACATGATGGGCGCCAGGTAGAAGATGGAGGAGAAAGGGTTGGAGGTTGCAGGGTTCCGCAGTAGAAGGATTTGTGTGAGGGCCCAGCGGAAGCCGGAGAAGCAGGCGGCGGAGATGACGAGGATGAAGCCCAGGGCTGAGAACTTGATTTCGCCGAAGACCATCATTACCACGCCGGCAGTCATAGTAGCTATTATGGCGACAAGGCGCCATGAGGGGGTTTCCAGGTGGAAGAGGAAGGCGAAGAGGAGGACGAAGGCGAGGGAGGAGGATTTACACATCGCTGAGTCGTGTTAGCAGGGAAGAGCAGGAAAATGGAACTTCCTACTGTAAAATGTCAAAGTAATAAACTGTAAACTCATGTTGCCTAATCCAATATCCAGGCCAGTAGCCACTCCACAAGGTCCAACTCGGGTAAAATAGAACATCCGTGTCATCAGGGGTTTCTTGCTATCCGTCTGATGCTGTTGCATGTCCGCATCGGAATGTGTGTTTTGAGGATTGGAGATGGAGTCGTATCGAGGGCGGAAACGTGGGAGGAAGTATAGCACAATGGAAGCAAGGCAGAACTGCACGAGCATATGCGCGCAAGTCGTAAATAAAGGGAAGTGGAAATTGAGGTGTTCGGGTGCGAACATCCATTTGTTGTACTGAATCCGGTCAGCAGAGTCCTTGGGCAAGTGATAGAGAACTCACCAGGGATATCGACAGTGAGAAAAGATACCACAGCCCGATTAGTAGCCCATTGATCAAGCCCTTCTTCACCACATTCTGATCCGCCTCTTTCTTCTCCTCGTCCGTAATTTTCAGGTCTGCTGCTATTCTCTGATCCAGCAATGTATTTCTCCGCCTTTTTCGTTTCCTCTTGCCCTTATCTCTCCCCGTTAACCCAGTCTCTTCGTCGTCTTGTAGCCCATCGTCTGATAACTCATCCAGCTCAACATCCTCACTTGTACTCCTCTCGTCGTCAGACGCTCTTTCCAGTTTCGGATCTTCTTGTATCCCCCCTTGCCCACTCGGTGGACTCCTCGATGTCTTGTCCCTCGATTTCCCCATTACTGTGGTATCAAGTTGGTTCATCAAACTACTCCTCCGCCGCCTGTGGCCCGAAGACTCGGGGTCCATATCGATTTCTGGAGGATGGACTCCCGTCAGCGCTGCTGCCGCATCGGGGGCCGTCAGCTCGTCGGCCGACAGCAGGGAGAGGTCGGAGGGCGAAGGTATTCGCGTCAGGGTCGGTTGAGGGAATTGGGAAGGGGGAAAGTCGCGTTGCGGTCGCGAGGAGGCATTATGTGAAGTGTCTTGTGCCATGAGGGCCGTCTGAGGCGCTTCCTAGTGAAACCCGCAGTAGGAGGCGTCCTCTAGTTTGGTCCGCAAGGGTTCCGAATGGAGTCAAGCGCCGCCAGCGGGCCAGGGTGACGGTGGAGAGGCTTGGCAGAGCGCGGGACTGGCGGGAGGCGTCTCATGAAGTCATTTTCGGGGGTGGAGTGCGAAGGACGGAGAGCTGTGGAGATAAATAGTGAAGGGTTGTTGCTGGAGAAGACGTCCCGGACGACTGGCTCTTCTCGAGAAGTTGACGAGAAGTTGGAGAAGTTGAGCTGACGGCTCAAAAGGCCCACGCCGTGATTGGGTGCGCCTGCCCCTTGGCCCCTTGGCCCCCGGCCCTTGGAAACGCTCCGCTCCAGTGACGAGCCCCTGCAAATGCGGCCGGCAGTGAGCCTTTCGGGGCCCTGCAAATCATCAACTGAAGACTGAAGCACTAAAAGCGATGCATCATGATTTTGGGCGGGCGGGAGTGTGATGGTGAAAGCGGGGAAGATGCTGCATGAAGTATAAATTGATCCTCTGCTGCTGGTATAATGGCAACGACGTTGATACTGTAATGATTGTTTTCCTCTTCAATCACCAATTGGTCTTCCCCAATCCCCAAATGTCCGCGCTCCCATGCTTTCATCCAAGCGATCATAATTCAAGTCAGCAGACCTCTCCTGCAAACGCCTGACACGACGATTACTAATCGTGCGGTCATCTCGACCAATACGGATGCACATCCTGCCTGACCCACGATCCAGAGAAGCCGTGGCTCCAAACCTCACCTCACTTTTCTCTATGATAGTGAAGAGGGCGTTGGTGACGCTCCGCTGGCCCTCCGGGGGCCACTGCCGTGGAGGCGGGCCTTTGGGCCTTTCTGGTATGGTATGGTAGTGCCAAAGGTGACCTTTTTCGAGCGCAGCGAGGCCTGGGGGGTTTGGAGGGCTTGCCCCCCATGAAAAGAAGTAGAAGTAGGATGGTCGTCCGCGGCCCCGGATTTGCGCTTCTCTGTCGGACGGACTTAACCCGTGCGCTGCAGCGAATCCCAGCGCTGTCCCCGAAAAAGAGAAGTACCTTTCTTTCATTTCTACCATATCCCACGTTTCTGTCTCCGGATATCTCCCTTTCGTGATTCTTAGTGGTCAGTTGCAAAACCGATCATTGCACCTGATGTCCTTTTATGCACAGTCAGGCATAGATCTGTGGTGCGGGGATGCGGCCGCCCCCCCTGAGGGACCCTTGTCCACGTTGCCAATCAGTTTATCGTGACGAGCCAAGGCTGGGGCTGGGGCCGTCTGGGGCAGCTGCACAGAGCTTACCGCCTGCAAAAAAAGCCACGATCCTCCTCTCTTTCCTTTCTACCTACACACTCCCCTTCGCAGTTCACCCAAGCGCGTGATCAATCTTCTACGACTCCGACCGATCGAAAGTTGTCAAGCTCTATCAACACTCAACTACCACCAGCAACTGAACAACCACTACGAGAGAGAACATGGGTGCTCCCGCTGGTATCCAAACCAGTCGCCGCAATGTCACCGGCTACCTGCCAATTGAGAACTATGGGTTGATTGGGAATATGCGGACCTGTGCGCTCGTCGGCATCGATGGCAGCATTGACTTCATGTGCTGGTAAGCTCTGTTAATTTCGTCCGAAAGCTTCGATTCGATTTCGGAGCTCTCAAACAGCTCTGTATAACTGCCTGCTGACCCCCTCCAAGGCCGGACTTCGATTCTCCCTCGATCTTCTGCCGTCTGCTGGACAAGGACAAAGGCGGCTACTTCAGCATCTCTCCTCCGGCAGACAAGGCCTACACGACGAAGCAGCAATACCTCCCCTCCTCGAACATCCTGCAGACCCGGTACATCCACGAAGAAGGCGTCGTTGACTTGGTAGACTTCTTCCCTCGCCCGAGGAGCACGCATGTTGTGACGAAAGCCACCAAAGCCACCAAGCAAAGCTCCTTTCGCGAGGCCGTTGCTGTCCAAGACGAATTGAAGAAATGGCTGGTCCGTAGAGTGGAATGTATTCGGGGCGAGGTTGACCTAGGTACAGCTACAACTTTCAATGCAAGAACATTTCTAATAGCTTCCTTTACAGATGTGGAAATATTCCCTGCCTTCGATTATGCTCGCGGCCCACACAAAACAGACCTCGGCCTCTCAGAACACCCACCAGGATGCCTCGAGAGCAAGACGGTCACGTTCTCGTCCGAGGGTGTCAAGTTGCAGCTCGACGTTACCATTGATCACGGCGAAGAGGATGCTATATCTTGCCCGACGGTGAGCTTCAGTAAGGAAATGAAACCAGGGATGCATGGAGAAGGGGTGGTCTGCCATATCCACCTGCAGGAAGGCCAAGCTATTTCGTTTGTTCTCCGCGATGATATCCCCAACCATATCACTCGAGACGTCACCACCGAAGTTCTTGATCGTCAGCAACACGATACTCAGTCGTATTGGTTCAATTGGATCTCCAGGAGCAAATACAAGGGTCGATGGCGCGAGGTCGTCTCTAGGAGTCTCTTGCTCCTGAAGCTTCTGACATACGAGCCAACTGGTGCTATTATTGCTGCGCCAACTTTCTCAATTCCTGAAGAAATTGGAGGTGGAAGGTACACGGTCGTCCGTTTTTCTAGAGAATCAAGCTGACAACCCTAGAAATTGGGACTACCGATTCTGCTGGGTTCGTGACTCTAGCTTCACAATCTACATTCTCCTCAGAATGGGCTTCACCGAAGAAGCCGATGCATATATGAACTTCATCAGTGAACGCTTCCGAACATCGCGATCTCCTGAGGGTGCGTTACCTATCATGTTCACGATTCGCGGTGAGACGGAGATTCCAGAAATTGAACTCGAGTAAGCCCTCACAAATATATTTGAAATTTACAAACTAAGATTTTGCAGCCATCTCTCAGGATACCGAGGTAGCGCTCCTGTCCGGATCGGTAATGGAGCCGCGTACCATCTTCAATTCGATATCTATGGAGAGTTGCTTGATGGTATTTACCTCTACAACAAGTATGGCAAGCCGGTCACGTGGGAGCAATGGGTTGCAGTTCGAGAGATCTTAGGTGAGTGTGCAAAAGCATTTGCAGAGTTCTTGGCTGACAGGTGTGTAGATTATGTCTTGACCATCTGGAAGGGTAAAGTCCCAATTCAAATTGCATATTCTTTGCTAACACAATACAGAACCTGATATGTCCATCTGGGAGGTTAGGAGCCGAAAGCAGAATTACACCTACTCCAAAATCATGCTCTGGGTTGCGTTTGATCGTGGTCTTCGGTTGGCAGAGAAGCGCTGTCTCCCTTGTCCGAACCGGGCTAAGTGGCTTGAAACTCGTGATGAAATCTACGAAGACATCATGACCCAAGGTAAGTACCCATACCCAACCAATTCCCATCTTCATGCTAAACCCATTCAGGCTATAGTCACAATCTACGCTGCTTCGTGCAGAGTTATGAGTCTGGCGACCTCCTTGATTCCTCAATCCTGATCGCTCCCCTCGTGTTCTTCATCTCTCCAAATGACCCTCGCTTCCTCCGAACCATGGATCGCATCCTCATGTCTCCCGAGAAAGGCGGCCTGACATCCACCGGCCTCGTCTACCGTTACAACACTGAGCAGTCCGAAGACGGCAAGCTCCCCTCCTCCCCTGATTCTCTCCATACCCACTAACATTCCCAGGTGTCGGCGGCCGCGAAGGCGCCTTTAGCATGTGCACATTCTGGCTCGTCGAAGCCCTCACCCGCGCTGGTGTCTATGATTCCAAGTACCTCATCCGTGCAGTCAACATCTTCGAGAACATGCTCAGCTTCTCCAATCACCTGGGCATGTTCTCGGAGGAGATCTCGCGATCCGGAGAGCAACTGGGCAACACCCCGCAAGCATTCTCGCATCTTGCGCTTATTAGTGCCGCGTTCAATCTTGACCGTGCTACGGATTTCAAGCGCTAGATCACCAAATCGAGCGAAGTTCGTCTTGAATTTACGACTTTATTTGGTGATAGGTGGAGATAGTTTATCATATTCGGCGTTTATTGTGAATGGGGGATTTGGCGTCGTTTGATGGATTGGAGAGCATGCTGCATTTCGCTGGAATGATGTTGTGTTGCCAAATAGCATAGCTACTAACTCAGATTGTTCTGCTTTATGTAACCGGAGCCTTTTCCCCGACCGAAGAACTCACCACTCAGCTCCAATCCACGTGCTCCATGAACACAGCTCTCTGACGGGTGCACTCATGTTTGGGCTTCCACTCAAATTTCTCACAGCCCTTTGGCGACTCAAGTGATCAGCATCTGGGAGTCGCCCGCCAATCAAAACCACGAAGATTGAATTTGGGCGGGTAGCGGCTGAGACATTGCATGTCTACCGCCACCTCACCAAGCAAGGCTTCGGTTGGCTGCACAAGTCGAGAGCTCGTCTCATTTTCCTTTTTTGAGGCTGAAGGGTGCTCAGCCGAGGAAGCTAACCAAATGGGTAACGAATGGCTCTCTGACAGCCTTCTCGTTCGAGTCGTTCTTTATTTGGCACAGCCTTTGGGGCTTAAGGCACCTGCAAGTGAAGTATTGCCAAGAAACGCGACTGTGCCCGCAACGGGATTATGAGAATAGGAGGGAACATATAGTCCATGTCGAGTCCCACGGTGAGCGGCGTCGTTCCGTTCCACTTAGCGCCTTACTCACGTCTTTGCGAGACGTCAATATGTTGTTTGAAACGTTATATATAGTCTACTTGTCTTTTCTATTGGCAAAACCATGCTCATCGTTCACGCTCCCGAATTTCTTGAAGAGAATTCAAGGACCTCCGCTCCTCCGTTCAGACGGCGTAGAGAGCAGAAGCCAGTCGGCTCCCGGAGCACTCCTCGCCCTTCCCATCAATGAACTGCAAAACGGCACCATCAACGAAGGGCAAGCTCTCATCGACTCTTGGCTCGGGCGACGGGCTACTTGTAACTTGGGGTACTACCTATGCAGGAGTGAGTTCTAACAGACGCGTTTCCCCATCCAGTGTTTTTGCAACCCATTTCACAGTCCCAGGTAGCGATGGCAACTAACCCATCTCAACTCCAGGTGGAACCCTCTGCTGCGCGAACGGATACTGCTGCACCGACATCAACACCTGCGTCGCAGACCAAGGCGGCGGTTGCTGCGGAAGCGGGACCTGCGCGGCCGGCTGGAGCTGCTGCGAATCAGTGGGCTGCTACCCCTTGAACGGACAATGCTGTTCAACGGGCATGTACTGCGAAGTGGGGAATGAATGCGTCATGGTCAGCGGGAAGCAGCAATGCTGCACGGATGTGAGCTGCACGGCGTATGTTAGCAGTGGCATCACGATTTACGTCACGACCAGTTCTTCGAGCACATACAGCTCGACCTCCAGCCAGACGACCACAACGACAACGAGTTCTACCGCGAGTAGCTCTCCGGCGGTGTCCACGCCGTCCTGTGAGTCAACCCCCTTATCCTCCGCTCGTCTACCTCTTTCCATTGCTGACTGAACCCCTGCGCAAGCCTCTTCCTCCTCCTCGAATACTCAGCCGGGCGGTCAGTCGACAGGTTCCAATACCAATAGTTACAGCGGCTTCTCCACCGGTGACAAGATTGCGCTGGGCTGTGGGATCGGCATTGGGTTGCCTGCCACGCTTGCCACGGTGTGGATGTGCCTCCGCAATAGAAGCTAAGCTGCGCCTGGTGGCCTTGTATAATCTAGTCGTAATACATGTGGAAGAGCAATCTTGCTAATAGTTGTATTGTTTGACTAATGGAAGTTGGGATACGGATTTATTTATATACCCCAATACTTTGTAAAGTAGATATTATGACTGGATTTGTGGGTCTATAGGGGGGTGTGGATATAATGAAGCAAGTAGATATCTCGCGCAGGCACTGCCATTTGATCTCTCTTAGTCTCTTCCGTCCTCACGTTCATCGTACCAGCTGATTGTAAGATTAGGCTCATCCTGCATATGCAATGTTGCATGCCGAGCTCCCCTTTTAACCCCTCTCAAGATGCCACTTACAGGGTGTTACGGCGAATCCTCCTCTCCCCATAACTCTATATTATCTTTAAGATGATAATATGCCCCGCACTCTCCGCCTTTTATTTTTCATTCTTCTGATTCCCCACCCGGTCGACCTTCCTACCCCACTCACCTTTCGTCACGGTGTCCGAAACGAATCTCGCACTTTCACAACTCCACACTTCAAACAGAGAAGTATGTGACTCTGGAATGGCTTTCTAGGGCCCCTCGAAACGGAAGTGGAGGAAGTAGCGAGCGAGGAAATGGGAACTGGACGGATCGCTAATACATTCTGGCTCTTCCTCTCCTCCACACCCCACTCCACCTCATAAATCAGCCTCAGCTTCACGATCTCACAGCACCCTAAAACGGAAGTCACTCATCACCAAACCGGCACCTTCTCCCCTCTCCCTCTGCCTGCAAAAAAAACCCCCCATCTTTCCGTCACGGCTTAGGCGAAACGAGAAGTGCGCTTCTACCCTGAGCTTGCACTAAACTAATTAATATTTTCTTTATATTATATTAAAATATTTAAAATTAGAAGAAGTTTATAAATATTAGCTATACTAGAATTATTTCGAGTATTTAAAGTATTTATAATTTAATATCTAGCTTAAAGCTTCTAAATTTCTATTATTACTTTTTGTAATAGGTATATATAATAGTATATAGACAGGTATTAGATGTTATAGATCTAGCTTCCTATTTTGGGTAAAGCTTGCAATCGGAATTATATAAGTAATCGGAATTGTATAGATTACATGAAATTATATTTCCTAGTTAAATAAAGGGCTTTATATACTTGGCTAAATACTAGGGAATATATAGGGGAATGCTTCCTGCTTTGGAAAGAAGTATTAATTAGTCTTTTATTAGAATTAATTCTTGGAATTAGTTATACTTATAAGTATTACTCTATAATTTACTTACCTTAATTACTTGTATATTATTCTACTATTATATACCTTATATTCTAATTAATCTAACTTTTGAAAAGCAGTTTATTATAAGGTAATTAAGCTATTAATAAATAAAATTATTAATAGCTAGAGTATTAACTAGAAGAAGTGCCTTTACTATTACTAGGGCAATCTAGCCAGATATTTAGGAGAGTATCTAATCAAGTATTCTTTATACTATCTAATTAGAAAAAGGAAATAGAACTCAGATATTTCTAGAACTAGCTAATAAAATAATAATAATAGAGAAATTAGTAATAGCTTGCTATTATATTACTGAATTAAAAGTAGAGATATAATAGAAAGAGAATCTGAAAAAGCAAGAAGCTTAGATCTATTATTTTAAAAATATTCGAATATTTAATATAGAGTTTATTATATTTCCGGTAGTATTTTTGGTTTAGAAGGCTTTAAAAATCCGAGAACTACTAATTTATAGAAGAAAAAGTATTAAAGAAGCCTAGGACTTCTTTTATTAAGTAAAGTTAAAGTAGTATAAAGATAATAGAATTATCTAAGCTATAAATATAATAAAAATTATATATTATACTTCTTATTTTAAAGATATAGCCAGAAATATCTGAAAATATAAGAAATAATTAATAGATATTAATATTATAAATTAGGAAATCTTTATTAAGTTTATAAAAGATTCTATTTTAAATTCAAAGAATTATAATAATAATACTTTTACTAAATTTAAGAATATTAAATAATAGCTAGGCCAGAATATTTAAAGCTTTATATCTTATTTAAATAGCTTATTAGATAATTTAGAATATATAGGTTTATTATAAAAATAAGATAATTTATTTAATAGCTTAAGATAAGAGATTCGGAATAAGATTAATTATTAAAGAAATACTTTATAAGAAAAAAAAAGCTTATTCCTATAATTATAAAAGTTAAAAACAATTTAAATCTATTTATTTAATAGAAATATAATAATAAGCTAATAAAATAATAAAAGAAAGAAAATAAGAGAAAAGAGAAAGAAAATAATAAAAAGAAATAAAAAAGAAATATATTTCTATTATAAAATTTATAAAACCGGAATAATAAAAATATAATAATAGAATCTAATATAATATTTATATTAGGATTTATAAAACCGGATATAATTTGCTTTATTTATTAGAAGAAAAATTACTATATTATTATTTATCTAAATTAAAAAAAACTAACTTATTATAACTATAATAAATCTAGGTATAAAATATATAAGTATTTAGAACTAAATAAGCCAGGAAACGAATATATTTTATAATAATTATATTTATTTATATTATAAAAAGTAAAGCCTTTAAAACAAGAATAGTAATTAAGATTATTATTAAAATAAAAAAAGATAAATAAAGAATTAGAATATTAATTAATTCGGGTATAAAGGCTAATTATATAAAAAGGAAATTAGTTTTAAATATAAGTATTCTATTAATATTAAAAGTAATTCCCTTAATTTGATTAGAAGAAAAAAGAATTCGTTTATATAAAGATTATATTCTTGGAATTACTATTAAACATATATTAAAAAACTAAAAAAGACTAATATATATTTTATATTATATAATCTTAATCTAAATTATATTAATATAATATTTGAATTCCTATAGCTTTATTAAATTAATTCTCTAATTTCCTTTAGGGAAATAATATAAAGATATTAGATTTAATTATAAAAGATTAAAATTCTAAATATTAGAGAATTTACTAAAGTAATAAAATATAAGATATAAATTTTTCAATTATTTATTTATTCTATAATAAATAATTAAAGAATTATTACTATTATTATAAATAAAATAGCTATATTTTCTAAAAAAAACATTAGAATTTTTTTCGAGTATTTTCTATAAAAGCTATAAATATAAAATTCGATTATTATATAATAGAATATTATATAAATCTAGAACTAGGATTTTAATTATTATATAGCTTTATATATATTTTATTAGAGAAAGAACTTAAAGTTTTTTAATATTTTAATATTAGCTTAAAAAAGAAATAGATTTATTATTTTATTAGCCTAGCTAATATTCTAATTATATTTATTTTAAAGAAAGAAAACGGCCTATATTTATATATTAATTATTGGAATCTAAATAGAATTATTATTAAAAACTAAATATTATTACTATTTATTAGTAAAATAATAAATAGGTTTTATAGAATAAAGATATATATAAAACTAGACTTAAAAGATATTTATTATTAGTTACGAATTTAAAAGAATAATAAATAAAAAATAGTATTTCGAATATATTATAAATATTTTAAATATTATATTATATTTTTTAGACTTTCTAATATTCTAGTCATATTTCAAATATATATTAATTATATATTAATAAGCCTTATAAATATTATTTATATAGTTTATTTAAATAGTATTTTAATTTATTTAAAGAATCTAGAATAATATATAATAGTAATCTAATATATATTTAAATAGTTATAATAATACTAGTCTTTTATAAACTTAATAAAATATAAATTTAATATAGAAAAAATAAAATTTCTAGAATTTATAATTAGCTTAAATAATATAGAAATTGAAGCTAGCCGGGTTATAGTTATTAGAGAATAGCTAGCCCTAAAAAATAATATTCGGAAAATTTAAATATTTTTGAATTTTATTAACTTTTACTAAAAATTTATTTATAAATATTTTAAAATAATAAAAGAATTAACTAATTTATTAAAAACTAATAGAAACTCATAATATTATTTTAGCTAAATTAATAAAACAGATAAGGCTTTTAGAGAATTATAAATTATATTTATAATAGTATTAATTTTTTATTATTTTAATTCTATTTTAAAAATTTATATAAAAATAGATATTTTAGAATTTAGAATTATAAATATAATTTTTTAACTTTTTAATAAAGAAATAGAAGTTAAATAATATTTTATTACTTTTTATTTAAAAAAAAAACTATAATTAAGAATAAATATAAGATATATAATTCTAAATTCTTAGTTATTATTCTAGTATTTTATATTTAATAGTATTATCTAATATATATCTAATATATTATTATTATTAAAATAAATTATAATAATTTAAAATATTTTATAATGAAAAGAAAACTAAATAGTTAATAAATAAGATAAATAAAAGAACTAGCTATTTATAACTTTATTTTAAAATATTAGTTAGAATATAATAACTCTATTAATAGACTATTAAAAAAGCCAGATTTTATAATAAATATAAATAAAAATACTTTATTATTTATATTTTATAATAAGCTATAAAATATAAAATAGAAAGTCTTATAAATAATAGTAATATAAATAGTTTTTAAAAAAAAGCTTTATTAGAATATTATTTATATATTAGAATATTATTTATATATTAGAATATTATTTATATATTAGAATATTATTTATATATTAGAATTTATTTTATATATTAGTAAACTAAAATAAAAAGATATTTATTATATAATATACTTATTTTTTCTATTTTTTTTCTAAGCTATAATAAGAAATTATTATATACTTTATTATAGAATTATTTTCTTTTAGGTTTTATAATAAAATATATAATTCTATACTTATTATTATTAATAAATATATAAAAATAATATTATATATTATATTATTAAAAACTTTAATATATTTATAAATATAATCTTTAATAAAGAATTTATTTTTATAAATAAATTTTAGTTAAATTTATATTTCTATTTAAAGATTTAATAATAGCTAAATATAATATTTTATTTATAAACTAATAAATAAACGAAAAATCTAAATTAAACTCTAGAATAATATTTAAGGTATTATACTAGCTATTAATAAAATAACTAAATAGTAAAGCTTATTTTTATAGAATTTATATATAATAACTTTATATATTTAATAATAAAAATTTCTTTATTTTATATATTT